TAAAAAATACAAAAAAAACATGGCGGTCCACAGTTTGTAGTTGTTATTTCTTCGTCGTTTTGGCTTTGTTTACCTTTTGGTCGGCACAAAATACGTAATAAAAACAAAATAAATAGACTCGGCTTTTGTTTTGTTTTCTCTTTGATTTCCTTGCTTTTTTGTTGGGTTAAACAATAAAGTTTTGCAATAAATTTAATTGGAGACTCGAGACCACGTACAAAAACCACTTGTCTGCTGTTTTATAGGGTCGGTATGTATGTATATATATATATATCTAGCTGTTCTATATAGTTAGTTCTGCTGACTTCACACCATTTGGCAGCAGCAGCAGCAGCAGCCGCCTCAGCAGAGCTCGAGCTTCATTCATTCAGCTTCAGCTCTTGCTGTGGAGGGTGAGCAGTTGCCTTCCGACTATCTTTTCAGTTTTGTATTCATTATCTCTCTGACTAGATTTCAACCTGACTTCCAATTTGTATATAGCGTTTGTGTGTCTATGTGTGTGTGTGCGTGTTCGTGTTCGTGTTCGCTGTGGGGTAACTCTGGCCTGGCAGCGGGTGGTTCAGGTTCAGGCCTTGGTCTGGTTTGTCTCTTATTAAAGCTGTGAGCTTAAATTGATTCGCACGTCACGAACGCGGCTTCTCTTTCATTAGAAACGTGCGTAGCCAACTAGAGTCTCAGCGTGAGTGGGAGTGAGCTGGCAACAGTTGAAGTTAGACAGCGACAGCAAGTGCAAATATTTGGCAGGCTTCACATAAAAAGTTAAGCAAACGCCCAAGTTTTGTCGACAGCAGCCCGAAAATTCAATTCAATTCAAGGTATCTTTTGGCATTTCCCCTTAAAGATTGACCCACAGCTTTTGGCCGGCTGTTGGCCAAGTTTGCAGGACTGTCCAAACCACAGTAACCACAGCGAAAGTTTTGTGGTGCTGCGATACCCAAGGAATCCTTCACACACAAACACACAGAGAGAGTGGGAGCGAAAACTTTACAGTTGAGTTAAGCGGGCGACTTTAGCTAAACTAGATATTACCCACACCTTGTGTATTTTCAGTCCAATATGTCGCGCATGTGACATTTATGTGGCTAACCTGAACAACCTTTAGCCACATTCACTGATGCGACGCGTCATTCAATCACTGGAATGCCAGCTTTAACCTCACTTATTGCGATTAACCTTAAGATAAGGAGATGTATTGTAGAAGATGCGGTGATGTAGAGATATAGAGATGTGTAGACATATATGTGTGATTCTGGGATACAAGACGAACTTGGGTCTAACTGTTAACTTGCTGAATTTAAGAATGTTTAAGAATACTCTTTAGTTATATTTCGGCAGTACTCTTTCATTTTTTTTTTTTTTTTTCTTAAATATTACTTCTTTACTGAACACTACTACTACTATTTTATTTATTACTATTTTAATGAATAATACTATTCCTATGATTACTAATATTATTATTGTGAACAGAATTTTATATATTATATGGAATATCTTAGCCAAAATGTATTATATTATCCGTAACCTCAACACAATTATTGTTTGTTGAGTTTATTGTTAATTGAGACCTATAAACTATTGTTTAACCTCAATATTTTCTTTAATCCGCACAAATATTGAGCAAATGTTAAACAAGGTTAAGAAATCCTCTTAACTCACAATTGAGTAAACCTTTTGTATTATTATTATTTATTGAATATATCTAGCCACAGTTTCATATAATCTACCTAAAAAAGTATTTCTTCCTCTTTCATTCCATAACCATATTATATCGAATTTGTGCAATATTTGTATGATAATAATCTCTATTTATAATTTTTTATATATTAATCTAAGCATATTCCTAGAATATTCGTGCACATATTATAGATTATATTATCTGTCTCTTTATATATTCATCCTCACTTCATAGTCTATCTTCATCCTAATTCACATCTTCATTTTTATAGTCTATCTGCATATCTATACATCTATAAAATTAGGTTACCAAAGCCCGCTGGCATGTAAATGATCTTACCCTGGTCGTGATTTTTTTCCCTCCATTCTTTTTTTTTTTTTTTTTTTTTTTTTGGCTCATGGCAAGGATCCTAAGTCTGCGACCCCTCGTGCTCGCCCTGCCCCTCATCTGCTTATGTTCCCATATTCAACTCGAAATTCCTTTCGCTTATTCTTTTGGGCTATACAATTGTTCAATTCCTTTCACAAAATCATTTTGATTGAAGGCGAGCGAGGTTTTTTTTTTTTTTTCCTTCATTCTTTCTTGTTTTCCTTTCCTATGAAATGCGACTTAATGCGAGTTCCTGTGCGCCACCACCACCACCAGCAGCAGCAACCACTCTGTGTGGCGGCAATACAGCGCATGCCACACGGTTGCCTCTGCCACAGAACGCGGCATTTGTTGCGTGCCATAAAAGCAATTGCATCTGCCGTCTAATTTGTACTTTTTCTCTGTCTCCCGCTCTCTCTCACTCTCTCTCTCTATATATATATTAATATATCCTTATATATATCTATTCATCTGTGTGTGTGTGTGTGTGTGTGCGTTGCCTTCCTTCCTTTTGCACCAAGGAAGTCGCTAGCTGCTCTACGCGCGACTGACTTCTTATTTTCGACTCATTTTCCCGCTTTTCATCATATGAGAATTGCAGCCGGTCTTGTCGCTGTCTCTCCCTCGCACTCTGCTGTACTCTTTGTATCTGTCTCTCCCTTTCACTCAGTTTCTTGTCTTTTCCATTTGAGTGCACACACATGTGTGTCGCCTCTGTCCTCTGGGCATTATGCAACACCTCGTTTCTAACCACGCGCTCTTCCTCTTCTTCTGCTTCCTTTTACAGATCTGATACCACACTGCAGGCGATTGTCTATAAGCTCGTGCCCGGCCTCTATGAACGGGAACTCATGCGTAAGCGAGCCTTCTACAAGGATCGTCCTGAGGAGGCAGCACTGGCCACGCCCGAACAGCGAGGCGATGATACGGAGCATTTGATATTCAGTCCATCCGATGATATGTCGCTGTCGCTGGAGTATGCAGAACTTGGGTAAGTTTCTGTGCTAAACGAACGAATGTTATCGATCGATTTTATTTTTATATAGATATATGATGAAATGTAGTGTAGAAAGAGAGTTATCGATTATAATCGATATTCACTGGTGTTTAATGGTGGTTGATATTCACTTTTGGGATCTATTTAATATATTACAGAAGATTTGATAGGAACTTAATGCATATTTCTAGAGATCCAAGTTCTATAAAGTTATCGATTATATTTGATCAACTTTTGAAAATTTGAATTTGATTTATTTCGTATTTTTTAAAAGAAGCTATGAATATTAGGAATATAATTTATATTTTCCATTCAATTTCCATGTAGAATCATGAGGAACTAAGTCAGATTAGATCTAGCTCTACCAAATCTTTTCTTTCCTCGTTTGTTCATCCCATTTTTAATAACTCTAATAAACTTAAGCTATATTTTTGACACTCTTTAATTTACTGTTTCTTCCACTCCATCTTTCACCCCTTGCAGTGAATTGAATACCGATTCGGAGCTGGAATTCGGTGATACATTGCGTCCACGTTATCTGCAATGTCCGGCCATGTGCCGTGTTAGCCATTTGAAGAAGTTCGTCTACGACAAGTACGAGATTGATGCCAACAACTTTAGCATCGACATCATGTACAAGGTGAAGACAATTGCGCTGCAGGATTATTATACGCTCATGGATATAGCGTATATATACACGTGGAAGCGGGATGCGCCGATGCGCTTCTTTTTCCGTGTCTACGAATCTCCAAAGAAGCCACTGATCAAGCCTGTTCCAGCGGTGGTCAAGCCACAGATACTGCCTTTGAAGCAGGAGCGTGTGTCTCCTGCAGCCACGCCCCCTCCGGCTCCTTTGGCTATCAAAGTGCCCACACTGTCACCGCCAGCGCTTCTGGCAGCAGCTCCAGCCAACACTCCGTCTCCTGCTCAATCGCCACGCATCAAAGTGGAGCAGCCCCAAGACGAATTTCGCATTGCGCCCAAATTGCATTCGCCCACTGAGCAGTCGCTCAAGATGGTCATCAATCGCAATGTGGTGGAGAAGCCCGAGAAGCACTCGCATCAGCATCAACATCATCATCATCATTCGCCAAAGTCGAGCTCCAAGAGTCCGACCACCAAGTGCCCGCCTCAGTCGCCTGGCGGCTACAACAAGGAGGAGCCCAACATTAAGCTAAAGATTGATCTGTCCAAGCACAATAGCGTCACCATCATCAACATGTCCGATCCGGATCGCAAGGAGATCGTCAAGCCGCTCAAGCCGGAGAAGGAATCACGCTCCAAGAGCAAAAAGGACAAGGATGGCAGTCCGAAGTCGTCCTCCAACAGCAGCAGTCCCTCGTCCTCATCCAGCGAGCGTAAGCGCAAGAGTCCATCCCCATTGACCGTGCCGCCGCTGACCATACGCACGGAACGCATCCTGAGTCCCAATGGAGTTAGCACCGTGCTCAGCCCTCGCGTCACCAGCGGCGCCTGCCTGGAGGATCCCAAGTCCGAGTTCCTCAAGTCGTTTGCTCTGACGCCCATCAAGGTGAAAGTCGAGTCGCCGGAGAAGCAATCGCAGTCAAAGATTARCGTATCTTCCGCTGCTGCTGCTGCTCCAGTACCGAACAACAAATCCAAGTCCCATCTGGACGATAGCCTGCTGATGAAGCCGCCCAGCGCCATGCCGCCCAAGTCGATAGCCTCCTCCAAGCGTAAGAGCAAGGAGCCCGTCAAGGCACTCTCCAAGAAGCCCAAGCTGTCCCCTCCACTGCCCCGTGAGGACTTCAAAATACGCCTGCCCACGCCCATTGTCAACGCCAGCAACGGGCCGGCCGCTGACAAACCGCTAATGCCCCCGCCTCCTGCCAAGCCTCCACTATCACGCAACAGCAGCAGCAGCAGCAACAGCAACAGCAAGCTGACAAATGGACCACAGACACCACAGTTGCCCATCTACGCGCCTCAGCATCACGCACATCCACTGCAGCAGCCACACCAGCAGCAGCAGCAGCAGCAACCGCATTTCGCACAACCGCAAGGACATCATGCAGGACTACAAATGTCAGCACCGGGCAATCGCACGCCCATCGCCAAGCGCTATCAGCCCATTTTGCCAAAGGCAGCGCGTCCGAATCCTTTCGCCAATATACCCAGCGATGTGAACCGTTTGCTCAAGGATGCGGGCACCGAGATCAAGACAATTGGTGGTCAGAACAAGTCGCATGTCTACGGGCCGAAGCAAACCGAGCACAAAATGGGCCCACCGCCAGTGCCCAAGACCAACAACAACAGCGTCAGCAACAACAACAACAACAACAGCAACTCTGGCAACAACAACAACAATAACAAGTCGAGCAACTACCTAAACCTGGCCTTGTACAACTTTAGCAAATCGAAGGGCAAGGAGGCGCCGCCCGGCTGCCGCACGCCCATGTACACGCCCAATTCGCCCATCTATTCGCCCAGTTCGCCGCAATATGTGCCCAACTATAATATACCGACCATGCCCACCTACAAGTACACGCCCAAGCCGACAAACACGGCGGCGTCGTCAGCAGCAGCAGCAACCACAACAACAACAACATCGGCAGCTGCCACAAGCACAGCAACAACAAACGCCAGCGCCTATTTGCAGAGCATGCTGAATGGAGCTGCGGGCGGTGGCCTGGGCGGTTGCGGTCTCTTCCCTAGTCCACCCATCAAAGCGGACCAGAACACCAATCCCGCCGCCGAGGATGCGCCCGAGAAGCAGCAGGTGAAGGTGAAATCGCTGCTCAACTCGTGCAACATCAATATACCATCATCGCTGTCGATAACCATATCGCGTGACAACGGTGACGCCTCCTCGCCCAGCAATGGGGCGCATGCCAAGCACAAGAGTCCCGTTAATAATTACATTGAGATTGTCAAGCTGCCCGATCAGCCCGCCGTGGACAAGGACAAAGAGAAGGAGAAGGAGAAGGAGCGCGAGAAGGCAACATCCATGGCGCCGGTGAAACTTCCCGCTCCGCCAAGCAAGACAATACCCTCGCCGCAGCATTTGCTGGCGCGGCTCACGCCGCCCTCAGCTGTGACCACTGTGCCGCCCAAGACGTCGCCCAAGGGCACGCCCACGCCCACGCTGAAGCCGCTGCAGCAGCCAGCGCAAATGGAGGGCAAGAAGACGCCCAGCCCCGAGAAGCGCCAGCACTCGCCCAATGCAGGCGAGAATAAGTCGCCAAAGTCGGGACAGACGGGCGCTGGTGGAGCAGGCGCTGCCTCTACGGCCTGCGGCGAGACGGCGGCCAAAAAGTTTCGACCCATTTTGCCGCGTCAGAACTCTGCTGCAGCTAGCTGCAACACAGCCGAATTGCCTGCCGCAAAGCTGCAACAGTTGCCGGCTCCTGCTAATGCTGCCGCTGCCGCTGCTGCCTACAACTTTGCAAACAACCACAGCAACAACAACAACAAAGTCAACAAGGTGCCCGTCAGCAAAAAGTCGCCCAACAATGCCCATGCCACTGCCAATGGCATTGCCAGCCAGGCCCTGATCAAGGCCAACGCGGCCAATGCAGCCAAGCGCAACAGCAGCGGCAACAACAAACATCACTCCGGCGGCCCCAACAACTCGAATCTGAAGCTCATGGCGCCGCCGCCCCATCCGCATCCGCACATGAATGCGCCGCTGAGCATCGCCTCGAGCGCCAATCAGCTGGACTTGAACTTCTTCAAGGAGAATCTGATGCGCGCCCAGGCGGCGCAGGTGGCGGCGGCAGCAACGAATCCCTCGAATCTGCTGTTCAACTTTGCGCCCGCCGTCTATCAGCAGGCCTGCCTCATGGAGCAGCTGTCGCGCATGCAGCGCGCCGGCCACGAGGTGTTCAACGATTACCTGCAGAAGGTGAGGAATGCAGCGGGCGGTGCCAATGAGGGCGCTGGCGGTGATCAGAGGCAGCAGCAGGTGATGCCCATGCTGCCCAATGTGACGCTGCCAACGCCGCCGTCCACGCATCAGCCCTTGGCATCGGCGGCCAGTCCCAAAAGCTCGCCGCATGCAACGACCAAATTGACGCCAGCAGCGACGCCGAAAGCCAACGTCAACAGCAGCGGCAGCGGCAGCGGCAGCAACACCGGCAGCAAGTCAGCAGCAGCCAGCAACAACAACAATAACAACAATAATTCGCTTCCTCTTACCAAAAGCAAGTGAAGCAGGCGGAAAAACCCACCCAGCCAAGCACCCACCTAGCAGGAGGAAAATCAACCCCCAGCAGCGCCAGCAACGCTTCGTTCGACCCTCGTTTTCGTGGGCGAAAGCTGTGCACTAATTAATATTTAAAGAGGTCTTTCCTTTTATTTTGTTTTTAGTTTTATAAGCACATATACCGTTACGTTGTATATATACATAAGAATAAGTCGGATATAAGCTGTAAATAAATATGATACGATTTACATAACTAGATATATAGATATATACATATATAGATATATAGCTATACGTTTATACGACAGCAAGAGACAGCGATTCAGAATCAATAAAATCTAAGTTTTTGTATACATACGAGATTTGTTCGTACTTTATTTATGTAAGGCCTAGCTTTAAGTGTAAGCTTTTAGCTGTTTGAATGTGTAAAGCTCTTTTAAAGCTGCTAACGGCCGAACGGCTGGACAGTGAAAACAAATGCAAGAATTTGCAGATAAATTAATAAATAAATAAATTAAATACTATTTAAAACAACTCAAAAAGATTTTAACTGTATTGATTAACAGAGAAAAAAGCATTTAAAGCTGAGAGAAGAACTTTTAAAACTGTTTTTAGGGCATACGTTTAAAGCTGCTAGAAAATGAAAATGGCTTTAAAGCTGCTTCAACTGCTGCTTAAACAACCGACTAGAGCTTTCATATAAAATGAATTGTTCTTATTGCTCCTGAAAAGTTTGAGCTCTATGCGTAGCAGCATCATACCTTTGACAAATATCAAATAGTAACGTCAATCACACACAAAGCTCATGAAAAGCTTAAAGCTTTAGAAACAACGGCCTGCTAATATTTAAGCAAAGCGTGAAAGCACATTGAAAGCTCACGAATTCTGTTTTTAACGGCCATGCCTAGTTGTAAGTGCCAAGAGACCAAGCGTTGGAGTTGAATGAATGAAAGTTAAATGTAAATTTTGTGTACAATATTTGATAAAGAACCAGCGAATAATCGATAAGAATAAAGCAAATCTATTTATACGAGTATCCAAATACAAACACACAAAAGCCATATATTTTTACTTTAATGGTCAAATGGAGAGTTGATGCTAATCAACTCGGGTCACAAGGTCAATGCAATGCGTGAAGGCCGTCGTTTCGCAGCGACGCGTCGCGACGTCCTTTTCTCCTAATCTGCCCGCTGTGACCGTCGATGCTCGTCCGTTGTCCGTCCGCTCGGCTTTGTCCGCCCTTTAAAATGAAAAATGTCCGAAACAAAAGGAAAATAAAAGATTACGAATTTCGGAATTGGGAATTGGCCTCAGAATTGGGTATCTCTGTCGCTGTCGATGTCGATGTCGGTTTTGGGTTCGATATGCTCGGAAATTCAGATGCATTGTTATTGTTTTCTTTTTGCCTTTGCTTTGCTTTTCCTCTTTTCCTTATTTCATTCCTTTTTCTCTTTTTTTTTTTTTTTTTGCAAGTTTCCGATTTCGAAAATTGGCAATTTTCAAGGAACGAGTCCCAGAAGACTCGACAGGACATACAGCTAATGCATATGCCGAAGGCAAACAGGCAGAAAGGATATAAGGGTAGACCGTACGTCTCTTAGTTAGGATAGGTGTTGTCCTTTAAGGGTGGATTAGGTGCGAATTGGCTTAGCTGGCGCTGAAAATCACAAGATTTATGTGCAACCAAAGCGCTGAGATAAATATATGCATTAGCTAAGGATATTCCAGCTAGGATATCTGGAGGTGGAACTGTACGGCATGAATTGGCATATTATGTAATATTTTTTGAAGGGAATGCCTTACGAATCAGGTAATAGATATGATTGGAGATACAGTAAGATATGATTGATTAGAAAAAATGTCTATATAGGCCGTCAAAAATATCCAATTTCTATAATGTATGCTCATATATACATAATATCACAGAAATCATATCTATAGCTATTTGTGTCTTTCATATTATTATTCTTATAATTTACCGATAAAGATAAGGTCCTTATAAGGCAGCTTAACTCATCGTAGTTTTTCGAATTAGGTAACACAAATATCACATATTAATGGTAATCTCAATTAATTACAGCTAGCGCCAAGTCCCCCAAAACTCATCTGTAATATTTCGGGGACTACGTTATTTGTCCGCTTAATGCCACAATCAATGGCACTTAATGTGGCGACAAGCGTAGGATTTGGCCAATTAAATTGTGTACCTTGTGTCGGTGTGGCAGCAACTTATGGCTGCCCCAAAAAGTCGAGAGAAAGCAATTTAGTGCCTTATGTAATCCGAATGCTAAGCACATAAATCGTCATTTAAGCGGGGAAACTACGACTACGTCTAGGGCAAATTGCAATTAAAGAACTTGGCGCCTCGCAGGAAACTTTGTGCTATCCACAAAAAGCCGAAAGGACACATGTCGAAACTTTTGCCATCCGAAAAATTCAATTAGAGCAACTCTCGGAGAGGGCGGAGAAAAAGCTGAACAACTGATAAATGAATGAACTCGTTCAGGTTCGTTCTAGTGGTTATTTCAATAGCTGTTTGTAACTCGATACGAACTCATTAATTACAATTACACGAGCATAAACAGAAATCAAAGCAACAACACTAGTGGAATGAAGCTCGCAAAACATTTGTGGCTTTAATGAGTTCATAGAGAAATATGAAACTAGGAAAACATTTTCCATTGAAATCTGGTCTAGACTGAAAACTGATTTTGGTTTATATCAAGTGAGTTTTGGCATTAGAATAGATTCTGTAGGAGGTATAATATAATAATATAAGAGCGTCTTCTGGACCAAACAGAAAAAGATAAATATTAGATAGATGATGGATAAGTATGCTGATAGATAGTAGATAAATAGTCGATAGATAGAAATAAATAGTAGATATGTAGATAGATGCTGATTATTTCCTATTGTTCAGTTTAAGACACATTAACAATATAAATATATAATATATAAATTAAAAAAAAAAAAAAGTCGAACAATATTTTATAATTTTTCCCCTTCAACGTTTATTTTTATTGGAGTCCTATACAAACAATTTTTTGGTAAATAAAGAGAACACGCTTACCACTCTACAAAAAGGCCGCGCGCTATCGAAACCTCCGCTTTCACTCTGTCTCTTTCAGTCTTTTTATCGCACTTCTCAGATGTGCTTTCGCCCTCACTCACTTTGACACTCAATAAATTGTTCTCGTTCTCTCTCTTTATCACTCAATTCAAAGCTACATGTGGCATAGGACACTATAGCAATCTCTCCTGCTCGCACTCAGTGCTCTCGCTCTCTTCTCTTTGCAAGCTGTAACCACTCACATATGCACATTAGGATTAAATTATTGCCCACTTCTACTCTAGCTCTCACTTCTGTCTTCATGACACTGTAGCACTTAGCACGCACACAATGAAAAACATAATGAAAGCACGCACAGCAATTAAATTAATTCAATTAATTTTTAGCTCTGCATTCAAACGCAACGATCAAAAGGACAAACGCGTGCTAACTGAATTGCATGAAAGAGCTTTCTTCTTCACTTGGCATACATGGGCACTGCAACGCTCTCTCTTATTGCACATTTAACGGGATCGAAAGCAGCACAATGCATTTTTGATTTACTGCTCTAAATATTGAAGAACAGGATCGAAGTTTTTCATAGATTCAAGTTAACTATAAATTAATGAGTCAGCGATTTCAAATGTCAAATTTTAAACACTTTGATTTATTACTCTTCACACGCAGTATAATTAATAGCCATTTAATTAACTCAGCTCTTTTTTCTTCAACACGCACGACCGATCAACAGGATGAACGCGCAGTCACTAATTAGACTAGCAGAGCTTGCGCCTACGCTCAGGCGACATTTCATTTCCAGGCTCGTTCACCTAACGGGATCAAAAGCAGTGGCCCAACAATGTCGTGCAGCGCAATTGAGTTCGGAATGGCAAGCGCGCCCACTCACAGCCTGTGCTCTACGCTCTATGCACTCTCTACACAGAGAGAGCCTCTTTCTCTTTTGTGACTGCAGCTTTTTACTTATACTACATACATATTAATTTTCCAGTTATAAGAGTTATCTTATATGGCTAATCGAGCGGCTTTTAAATAAGATTTTATGACTTGTTTTGAATATTCATTTCGCAATTTGAGCGTGTGTTTAATTGTAATTTCTTTTGCATTTCTAATTAACGGCACGAGCAAATGTTGTTTTGAGAGTGTGTGTGTGTTAGTGTTTTGTGCTCGTGTGTGGTTAGGCTGCTTACACAAATGATTTATAAATGTTGTTTTAATGCGCTAAAAGCCAAGCGCATTAAACTTGTTTCTCAGATGCGACCCAAAACACAAACACTCGGATATATGTATTAGAGTGTGTGAGCATATGCGTGTGAGTTTCAGGTGAATGCATATGTGTAGCCGTAGCATGCACAGTGGGTGGAGGCTTAGCAGAGTGAGAGTGAGAGTGAGTGCGAGAGATATATTGGGTGTCTGTGATGCTTTGCTTAATTATTGTAATTGGAGTTTTTGGCCCAAAACCGCGCCAATGCATAAATTATTCAAACCACGAGGCTAAGGCGACGCATTTGGCTAAAAGTTTATGAATGAATACTAAATGAATGCCCAAAAAAAGTTTGGCTTGAATCGTTGAACTCTAAATGGTCGCCATTATTCATGTTTTTTCATGTAAAGAGTAAAAGTTCAGAAAAGTTTACATGTATCTTCCAAACAGCTTTAAGCAAATAAAATACTTTTAATTTTTTTTTTTTTTTTTTTTTCGAAGTGTGTTTTATTGAGCTATTTCGTTTAATTCTCCTTCTCGTCTTCTTCTTCTCGCAGAAGTGTCATTCTAATTTCATTTGGTTGCAGCATAAATAAATTCATGTAATGTAATTGAAATCCCACCATTATTAATATACAGCACGGACGAGATGATGAAGAGGATGCAGAAGAGAAGACCAAGTGTCGCCTTCCAATTTGTATGCCTGCTCGCTCCCACTCGCATGGCTGCCCTTTCTGTCTCAATATTTTTTTATATATATATATATATAAATTTTTTTTTTTTGCGTTACGCTCTGTGGGTAAAAAATGTGAAACCCAAAAAAAAGTATCAATTTACAGCGGCAGCAGCGCTGAGCTTGCCTTTCAGGGTGAAGACGAAATCAACGAAAAATCCTGAACCGGAAATAAGAATAATAACTGCACGAATTGCTAAAGCATTAAGACGCGAAGTAGAAGAAGAAGAAGCAGAAAAAAAATGAAACGGAACGGTATGGTAAAGTTATTTACGCGCAAAGAACTGGACAGCTTTTGCGCGCGGCTGTCTCTCTCTCTCTCTCTCTCCTTCTCACGCTCATTTGTGCCATTGATTGATTTGAGTGGCGGGCTTCGACGATTGAGTGCTACTCAATTGTCTCTAATGATGAGCTCTCTTCGAAAATGCTCTGCAGCAAGTGGAGGGTACAGTGGTGTGAGCGGAGGAGAAAGAGCTGTGTGGCTTAAGCTAAGAAGTCACTTTAACAAGATAAATTGTCTGTTGGCACGACGGGTGACGGGCAGAGAGTCTATAACTGTATCTAAGCTGTAGCTGGATCTTTATCTGTATGTGTGTGTGTGTGTGTGTGTGAGAGAGTTTGTTGGTGTTACAGACATTGGGCGGCCGTTGTAATTAGTTGATTACACAAGACAGTCGACACTCGGTAGACTCGACACGCTGCTTGCGACACCTCTCTCTCTCCCTCTCACTCTCTCACGCACGCTTCAATCCACTCCAATTCAGTTCACTCGCTGCGTTTGCATTGCAAATGAAGTTGTGCCTGCCGCTGGGTGGCATCTGGCTAGAGTTGGAGCTGGAATCAGAGTTGGAGTTGTTGATGATGCTGTTGTATAAGAGCAAACACAGTTGCGGTCTCATGCTGCTGACGTTGCCAGACTTTTGTGCATTTTACATAATGCTGAGTGCCTCTGTAATATGGGCAAAAATGCAGGGCAAATATTTAATATAACATAACATATATACAAATATATACATACATATGTACATACATATGTACATATATGCATTGAGTATGTGTCATTCAATGCCAATTTGCAGTGCTAAACTCGTAAAAAATGTTGACATTTTTTTGCAGCTTATTGAATTATCAGCATGCCACAGCTTCAGCAGTGGTGGTGGTGGTTGAGTTGGTGTTGGTGTCGGTGGTGGCATATACAACATATAACAGTACATATTATATACACCACTCAGACGTTGCCTTTGAGTATATAACGAAATACGCACACATACACACACACACACACAACATTCATAACAGCAGCGACGGCGACAGAACTGCAACCAAGCAACCGGGCAGCCAGTGAGCCGTGCGGTTTACACATAGTCGATAAGCACACTCACACACACACACTTGCATAAACACACGCACAGGCAAGGACTCGCACAGCCCACTTCAGGAACCAACAACAGCAACTGGCAAAGAGGGTGCTTTTGGCAAAAGCTATTGAAGCAGCAGCAGAGCAGCAGCAACACGGCAAGGCAGTCGAGGAGGCAGCGGCGGCAGCGACGCTGACAGCGGCAGCCGTTTGCACTGGCAAATGAACCTAATTTGATAGAGCATAAAACAATAACAACTGCTGCATTAGCAAAAGACAGCCAGAAAGAGTGAGCGATAGGGCGAGAGCAGCAATAGCAGCAATAGAAGCAAAGAAGAAAAAAACAACTGTAACATATCGAGTTGGCATTGCGAGCAATAACAGAAACAGCAACAACAACAAGAACCATTGCAGCAGCCGAARAATAGCAACAACAACCATGAGCGAAACAGTAGCGCTCATTAAATACTCTTTCTTTTCGAGACTCACTCGTGTTTGCGCCTGTTCCTTCTTCCATGCCTCCCGCTTGCTGTAGATCTATCTATCTCTCTCTCTCTTTCTCGCCTACTCTGTGTCCGCCTGCTGTCCTTCTGTCTGTCGCTTTATTCCTTACCGGCTCTTTTGCTACGTGCGGGCATTGGATGGGAATTTAAATTGGTAATGCGACGACGAGACCCAACTCGTGGTCGATGTTCGTTGCTGTAGTTGTTGTTGTCGTCGCTGCTGATATTCGTTGCTATCGCAGTGCCGCACACTTGAATACACATACATACACACACACACACACACACCACGGGCACATTGAATGCAATACATGGCTGTGTATGTATGATTGTATTTGTATGTACAGCAAGATTCAAGATAGAAGACACTGGCGTATGTTAGAGAAAATAAAAAGGGGTCTCACTATATATGAGTGTGCCAGCGAAAAGGGTGGATATTAAAATAAAATTGCACAAACGAGAGATAATAATTCAAAATATTTGTATATATATACATAATAAATATTATTTACAATATATAAAATTTTTGTACATACTCTATTTAATATTTTTTGGTATTAAACATATTAATCACTGTAAAATAATAACGCATTTCTTATTTATACACTTATATTTGAATATCAATCCCTTTTCTTTCATATACACTAAGCCGCTGCGCACTTAGTGTCCCAGTCTCAGTCGCATGCCCGTGTTGAAATATTTTCGAGGCAAGCTGCGCACATAAATGGACCCCCTCTCCATTCAACGTCAATGTCCAATGCCCCTCAGCCAGTGCTGGCGTCTCTGCCGCTGCCACCGCTTCTTCTGCTGCTGCTGCAGCTGCTGCCGCCTCGGCCGCTATTTTTATGTACAAAATACATGGCACATAAATTGTTTCAGGCCGTCAGAGCCATAGCTATAGCTATAGCCATAGCCAGAGCCGAGGCCGTGTATTCTGATTGTGATTCTGTTCCTGTACCACACACACACACACACGCACACACATTCACGCACACAGCTGAACAGGGTTGCATATGCAACTGCGATGTCTCTGTGTGCGTTTGCTGCACATGGACATGGCGTTTGTTTTTTCGGCTGCTGGGAAAGAGTATTTTTTTTTTCTGTTCAATTCTTTTTCTACGTTTGTTTCCGCTTGCATGTAGCTGTTCTTSTTGTTGTTGTTCGTTGCGGCTGCTGCTGCTGCGATGCAGTTTGCCTGCTGCTTTTGTTTTTGTTGTTATTGCCTGATTCACACATTCCTAATTGAATTATCACGCATAAGCGACAGCCAAATCCAGTTGAGCGTTGTGCCTGAGTTGATTTGAGGCCCCGCGCAAGCTGTATTAGGTGCCAAGTGAAGCAGATCACAGTCTTTCCCCTCCGCTCCCCCTCTTACTCTATTCAACAGTATTCCCTTCGCATGCTCTCGTTTTCTCCATCTCCTCATATTCATAATTTTGTGCGTTTGTCTGTTATTTTTAGACACTGGTTTTACGATAAAAACTAATTAGAGTATTGAGTGCGAGTCTAAGTGTTAGAGATGTGCGCGTGCTGCGATATTTTAAATAATTGTGGATGCGATGTTGATATGCAAATGTATGTGATGCCAAGCTATGTCAATTAAAGCTACATATTTATATCATATAACTATTTTTTTTTTTTCTTGTTAAATAATCATTTTTCTAATCTATATATAAAAATTGTTTTTTATTTCTGATTTAAATTTTAAAAGTAGCCTAAACTTTCATACA